ATAAAAAGATAAAAGGGCGCAATGTGCCTCGGGGGGGGGGGGGCAGTCGCCGCGCGCGCTCTTGCGGCAACAGGAAATTCGTGAGCCAGGGGGAGTGTAGCCAATTCAGGGGGGTTGGGGGTGAGGGCAGTCACATGACATGCGTGAGAAGCTGGAATGTTCGAATTTCCTGTTGCCGCACAGCCGCGCGCGGTGACTGCCCCCCCCCCCCCCGAGGCACATAGCGCCAATGAATGTCATATTCGTAATCAGGGCATCGAATTACCCTTATAGGCAAAGTTTCCAACGAAAAATAAAATTTTGAGATTTTGGGGCAGTAATGGTGAAATAGTGCCATTTTCCGATAATAAACCACTCACAGTGCGCGCAATTAAAGCTTGAGAAAAATTATTCAAGCCCAAGGAATATAGTATTATGAGATGAATATGTGACATGAACACGACCTCAAAACTTACTTTTTGAATCGGAAAAGCGCTTAAGTCACAGAATAGAGCATACAACACACCTGATCAATACACGCCTGTGTAAATGCGGGAAGGCCATATTGCCCCCCAATAAAGCAGGAAACATTGGTTTCATTATCCCTGCGGCTTGGCATAGTCGGGAGAATTCAGACATTCTGCAAACGACTGTAAAACAAATGTTCACTAGGTCTTGATGAATGGCTAAAAACCTATGCAGAAAGTATCACGAGATGCCACACAAAAATCTACTGCACTAATCAAGGCATTGGAACCCTAAGCGCTTGCATCAGTGGAATCTCAGGCCGGTGTCAGATTTTGCGAATCCAGCGATTCGCTACCAAATCGCTGGGTACGAGCATTGCCAGCGAATCGAGCTGTGCACCAGCATTTAAGTAAATGTAACCAACACTCGCCATTGTTTGAAAGGCTGCGCCGAATAATTCGAAATTTCACCATTTCAAGCGCACGCGGCATGGACTTTCACACTCGAGAACAATAGCAGGAGTGCAACGGCAAACGGAGAGGCGAGGTCTGCCACTTTTTCAACATTTAAAGGCTCGCTGCGTACAGGCGTTCGATTCCGCAGGCACATATTTCGATTTGCTTGTGCAACGCTCGTACCCAGCGATTTGCTAGCGAATCGCTGGATTCGCTAAGTCTGACACTGACTTAAACGAGGTTGAAGGAATTTCGTTATAAAATTCTGGCGGTACTTCAGGGCGGACATCTATTTCTGGCATAGAAGCCGTAGCAAACATATTTCAAGTCAGACTGGAACTTGGGAATGTCAACCTTCGCCAAGGTCCTCTGGACTGTGCCAAGAAGTTTTGGTGGATGATGGTTTCTGGAGGAAGTGAATACTGCTCACAAACGTCGAAGTCCCTCATCTCGGCCTCAAAGGGCAAACCCGATCACTTTGCACATTCTTGCTTTTCACGCATGTCACTTAGTACTCGCTCCCCCCCCCTTTTAGCATCATGAATTCCCAGTTTCGCACTGAAAGGAGTGAGCATGAGTGCACGCCGCAATGGCCGATGTCAGACTTTGCGATTGGAGCGATTTTGCACCAATTGCAGGAGCGACGGGAGATTTACACCGCCGACCACCGATATTCGGCGCCATCAGTTCGTAAATCTCCCGTCGCTCCTGCAATTGGTGCAAAATCGCTCCAATCGCAAAGTCTGACATCGGCCAATACGACTACCCTTCTCCCTCCCCTTGGAACAACAACCCCAGAATCAAAGTGATAGGTAATATCGCGATAATGGCTTAGATCTGAACGCTTTCAGGTATCTCTCGAGAAACAGCGCAGAGGAACAAAACACCGAGCTTCTCGATGCTAAGTGGGTTGGGGGGGACCACGCGGCGGCGCGGCGCTCTGCTCACCTGGCGCTCTCTCGAGCGAGATAGTGTAAACTCAAAGAACATTCCAGCTTTTCACGCATGTCAAGTGACTGCCTCACTCCCCACCCCCCCCCCCCCCCCCGACTGCCTACACTCCCCCTGGCCTCACGGATTTCTGAACTTGCCAGGCGAGCAGAGTGCCGCGCCGCCGCGTGGTCCCCTCCAACCCACTTAGCACCAGCTTCCCCTCCCAACATCCACTGGCACTTTTGCTAGTTCAAATTTCGGGATTACATGCGCAAGAATTGCATGAAAAGATGAGTGTGTGCAGAGAAGTTCACCGCAAGAGAGGCGGCACAAACGCAGCGATTGGTTGTGTGATGGCGTCTACGCCAATTAGTAAATTCCATAGATAAGAGCGGTTTAATTTACCGGTAAAAAATGATTTTGAAAAAATATTTTTATTTTTATTTTATTTTTGAAAAAATATCTATGGACCGCTCTTATCTATGGGATTTTAGGGTAGTTGTGTTTGCTTACGTCAATTACCATTCATCTTACGACGTAGATTTTGAAAATTCGATATTCGGTCGATTGTATATACCTCTTTTTATTTCATGTTTCGAAAACCTACTCAGATCCACCGACATGTAATGAGTTCCATGAAAACAGAAATGAAAACGAGAAGAATTTGGGAGTTTCTTTATGTCGATGGGCGCAATGTGCCTCGGGGGGGACCAGTCGCCGCGCGCGGCGTTGCGGCAACAGGAAATTCGTGAGCCAGGGGGAATGTAGCCAATTCAGGGGGTTGGGGGTGAGGGCAGTCACTTGACATGCGTGAGAAGCTGGAATGTTCCGTGAGAAGCTGGAATGTTCGAGTTACACTACATCGCTGAGCCGCGCGCGGGAGGGGTACTTACCAGGAAAGGCATTCAACTTCCCATGGAACTTTGAGATGAGACCCAGATATATCGATAGAGCTTCAAACGCTGATTACAAATATGGAAACTAAAACTGCAAAATGAACCTGCCAAGGAAGTTGTGAGCAGTCAAAGTTGGCTGGAAGTAAAGCATTACACTAGCCTCCGGGCTTTCAAAGTCGCCGTGGAGTAGTGGTAGTGCTCTCGGAATTTGCGCTCCGACGGGAGGAGAGCTTATGACCTCCAGGGTGAATAGCGAGGGCACCACCACTGCTCCGCGGCGACTTTGAAAGCCCGGAGGCTAGTTTAACGCTTTACTTCCAGCCAACTTTGACTGCTCACAACTTCCTTGGCAGGTTCATTTTGCAGTTTTAGTTTCCATATTTGTAATCAGCGTTTGAAGCTCTATCGATATATCTGGGTCTCATCTCAAAGTTCCATGGGAAGTTGAATGCCTTTCCTGGTAGGACAGAACGCGACTTTTTCGCTCTTCGCAACGCGACATCGCGCGGCAGGCTGGCGCACCCGTAGCGAAAACAACTACGGTATGGAAGAACGCGCGATTGGAGCAGCTTTTTTGCATGCGTGAATTTGTAAGTTTCTGATTCCTTACTTGCCCGCGCTCACACCCATTGTATTGATAAATGCGGTGAATCACTAATTCTGTCTCATTATTGAAAACGTTTTGTGACTTACACGATTCCGGGCGATGCCACACAAATGGTGTTTTACGAATTATCGGTGAACGAGGGTTTAATAGTGTCGCTTGTGCTTGCATTTTGTGGGTTCATATTGTTGTATAGACATCTGCATAAGGGTATAACATCTTTTACGGAACGCTTCTGTCCTCATCACGGATATGATACTCATTTTTGACGCTGGCGCCATTTGGGGCCGGGTGGCGCCACAACTGATTCCCACTAAATTCGCTGTAAACTTCTGTATAGGGGTTATTCGGGGTCCTGATTTGTTGTTAGCGCTATTCGGCGCCTGCTTCCTGCTCGTCTGCGCCCTCGCACTAATTAGATCGCAATAGGACTAAGCCTTTGAGTAGTGTAGGGCTCCAAAGTGGGTAGGCCATTCCCCTGTGGTCTGACACACTCCAACTTTTGCCACACGGTGCGTGGTTTACCCACTCCGGAGTTTCACTCCCCTCCCCTAAGCTTAGTCGTAGGCGCTGTAGGTGAGAAAGCTTAGAAAAGCAGAAAGTATGCGTTAAACAGCACGAATGTGAAAAATGAGTCATATTCATGATCAGGGCCCCAAATAACCCCTATGCAGAAGTTTACAGTCGTCTCATCAAACGTCCATCAACCATTCCTCTTCCAGGTTCTCCAGAAGCTCTACCATCCATCTCTGCAAAAATAACCTACCTCCCTCTTCACTGCTAGTTAGCGGTCCACTTCTGGTTACCATTTCCTCGTTCATTATCAAATCCATGGCTATTAAGCTTCAAACTCCTTGTCGCAATCAAAGCCGACACAAATATCGCGCTCCAATCGCGCGTTCTTCCATACCGTAGTTGTTTTCGCTGCGGGTGCGCCAGCCTGCCGCGCGATGTCGCGTTGCGAAGAGCGAAAAAGTCGCGTTCTGTCCTAAGTACCCACACCCCGCGGGACTGCCCCCCCGAGCACGTTTGCGCCTGTCGTGCTGACTAGGTGAATATTAAAGCTGGTTGAAAGGCGACGAGCCTGATGGCACGAAACCTTCTATATAAATAGGCAATGGGTGCTTGTTTCTTCAAATTTTTTAACACGTTGACGACCGTGTGGTATGATGTCATACCACACTCTTTCGGCCACGTGGGACCGTGTGACATGATGTCATGTCACAGTCTTTTTTAAGCTGGTTTTCAAACATTTTAGGTAACTTATTTACGTGATGTATGCGCCATACTTAGGCATTGTTACAAAAGGCGTGGTCCCTGGAAAGAAGCTTCGGTTGATGGGCTATCGAGTTTTTCTAAAAATGTTTGAATAATGATCAAATCACAGGAATCGCTAAAATGGCCAAAATCGCATAATCGGAGACCTACCACACAAGAAAGATAACAAATACACACTTCCTGAGAAAAAGGAGTTCTCGTGGGACCGTTTGACATGATGCCATGTCACACTCGCGCGGTCAAAATAATGCGCGCGGTCCCACACGCCAGACAGCGAAAAATGGCGCGGTCGTCAACGTGTTTAAGGGGAGCGATTACAATAAAGAGCGAACGCATCGGAGAAGGAGTGAAACGCAACTATAGGGGAATTAAGGATAGTTTAGGCAGATGGAAGAAGCAGGAGAACGGAAGAATGGGTAAGGTAATGGAAGTAAGACCACCACGGATGAAGGAAGTAAGCAACAACAGTAGAAAGGGGTGATCTCGTGTAGAATAACCGACTCCCCTCAATTGTGTTCGACAGCTTCTGGCTGGCGATCAGGCCAGGAACTCAAGAAGCGGAGATGGCCGTAAGCGAACAAAGAGGCAACAAATAAACAAGTGGAGGTCGCACACGAAGCAGTGGAGGTGGTATATCGAGCAGTGGAGGTGTTTTTAAGAAGACAAGAAGGCATCGTCGAAAAGGTTGTCAAAGAATCAGGGCATTTCTGTCGTCATCAAAGCGTCGGCGGTGGCGGAACCTGGGACCTTGGAGGAGGTCTAGTGGGGAGGTGCACCTGGCGCTTATACTCGATATCGAGAGTTGGGGTAGGCGTGTCACCGGAAGTGACGTGCACTTGATAGAAGCTATGTGGATAAGCTGCTTCCAACATACATCGCTGGATATCAGCAAAGCATGCTGGCAACAGCTTATCCACGCAACTTCTATCAAGTGCACGTCACTTCCGGTGACACGCCTACCCCAACTTTCGGATATCGACTGTATGTGCCGGGAACACCGTTGCGCACTTGGTGGCTACTTTCCAATAATTTCCTCATTTTGAGGAAAGTTACAGACGAGATGGAGCAAAGACTGATCTTTTTGCAGGAATCGGCGGCAGTAATTACGAATTGTTGGAGTCACTGCTGCAAGGCAAGGATCCGGAGCAGGTGACATTGAAGGAGCTGAGCGAAATAATGGCAAGCCATTTCCAGTCAAAGAAACTAATCTTGGCAGAACGCTACGGATTATGTCGCGATCACAACGCCTCTGGAGAAGCACTGCAGGTCTATTATGCGGAAAAGCAGAAAGCTGCAGCGACATAAGAGTGAGAAGATCACAGACCATCGTGACGCCATGGTTACAATGGTGTTTATAGGGGAGGGGGGGGTTAGCCTCTGTAGAAACTAAGAAACGGTGTTTGCAAAGGGAGAATTTTACATCGAATGAAGCTATGGCGACGGCAGAGGCGTTTGAAAGAGTAGGTAGAAACGCGCTTTATTTAAAAGAATGAATTCAAGAAGTAGGAATTTCGGTAGTCCAGGCGAGAAAAAGGAGGTTTACGAAGTCAAAACAAGAAGTACCGTTCTTAAGAGCCAGAGCAATGCAAAATAAAAACTGGGTGAAAGAACAACCGCAGAACGCAAAAACACTAAACGACCGCTTGGTCGCTGCAGCTCAATGTACATGTTGCGCAGGTCGAGGGCATGCTTTTTATCAGTGCTTCAAAAAGCAAACTGCGTTTTGTACAATTGCTCTCGACCTGGGCACATGGCTAGGGCATGCCGATCAAAGGTGGCCAGCACTAGAAAAGTCTCCCTCTGGGTCAACTGGTGCGCCCAGCACCTCCGACCTTGACGAATTTGGTAGCACTGAGAATAATATTGATAAAGTTTGTCACGAAAATCGTCAAGTTCATGGAGGAGCTGGCTAGGCACCAGGCCGAGAGGTCCGGAAGGATCCAAGATCAGATTTCATGACGATGCGCCGAATAAGGTGCTCGATGCCGTTGAGGCCAGTCTTATTCGGGGAGTTGACAGTGGCTGAGACAAAGGTACTATGCTGGGAATAAATATTCATGCATGGACATAGCATAGTGACTTTGTGGATACGGTTAGCACCTTTGACGTGGAATCGAGTAGTTGGGGGGAGGGGGGGAAACTGTGGCGTCGGTGCAAGTGCCATTATTGGACGTACAATTCAACGGCCGACAGCCAGGACCTACATGTGCTTGAAGGGGGGCACCCGACCTTGTACGGTTGGAGGGGAAAATACGAAGTTATTACGATTATAGCACTGAAGATCGACTGTGGTCCCCATTATCAGTGTGCACACGAAATACAGGCTAAAAACCTGCCAGTGGTGAAGCAGAGGCTCGCCAAGATCCTGAAGGATCACAAGAGTGTATATTTAGCCCGGCCATGGAAGATGTACGGCCGTTCAAGCAACACTGAAGTTTAAAATGGAGCCGGTACCGAAGTTTTCCAGAGCACGACCGGTACCATTGGCCCTACGGCCTATAGAAGATCGTAGCAGTGAGCTGACCCTTGGAGCATCGGAACTTGGATACCGTTCGTGGAGGTCTTCCGAAACTTAGAGGTAAAGTCAAAATGGCGGTTGGGACAATTATAGATAAGAATAAACACGAAACGGAATTACGGTAAAGTCCAGTATCCACTGACGAAGCCAGACTGTATTTGTCATAAACATTTACATTTTTCACATTTGTTCATGACTAATAGTGCATAATATGCAGTTTGATTTGGATAAGGAATCTAGGAAGTATACCACGGTGAATGCCCAGTAAGGACTCCTTGAGTATAACCGGATGGCTTTTGGAATAGCATCCGCTCCGGCGATTTTCCAGAAAATAATGGAAAAAACATTAGTCGGAATCGAAGGGAGGTAGTAATTTACTTGGATGATATAACGGTCAGCGTGCACGGATAATAATACTAGGTCTGGACAGACTGAGAACAGTGGCGTACAAAGATTTGAGGCAGCTGAATTCCAGCTCGAAGCGAAGCAAATGTGAATTCCTATTATACTGATGGAATTCTCGGCAGAGTCAACCCTGCGTTGCGCAGTTCTCAACGGCCACGTTGCGCAGTTTCGCCCGATTAGACACGTTCTCTCGCGCGAACATTCACACTCGCATGCTCGAGCCGTCTGTCTCCGCCCATACAGCGTGCGTTGAGGATCTCTCAACGTGCCGTTGCGAACTGCGCAACGCAGGGTTGACTCTGATTCTCGGGCATATTGTGGATGGTGTAACACCATCCCCTCACAAAATAGAGGCAATGCAGAGAATGCCGGCACCAAGGAGTATCAAAAAATTGGAATCTTTTTTGGGCATGATTAAATATTATGGTAAATTTATACCTAATTTGTCAACGCTAACCGCTTTTTCAAATTCCTTGAGGAAGGGGAGTGGAAGTGCGTTGGAACGGAGAACGCCAAAAGGCACTCGTAGAGATTGAAAGACGATTAATCGAAGCGGATGTACTTGTCATTGAGGGATCGGATGTGCCAGTCGCGTTGACACAGAATGATTGTCATGGTTTAGGAGCAGTAAGTACCACCAAATATAATAGACGGCACCGAGAAGTAATCGTTTATTGAAAAAATGCATGGGCTCGAATGGTGTCTTCAGCAGTAGACTGCCGATCCTGTTAAGGATGACTCGTGTGAATAGCTTGTAGATTACAGACATCAGGCAGATTGGGCGATAGTTGCCAATGTCGTCCAAGTCTCCCTTTCTTGTACAGCAACACAGTCCTGCTGGTTTTCCACGGAGTGGGTACATCTTCGCATTCCGACAGGTAACGCGTGAAGAGTCGAGTCAGAGTTTTGACGATAACTGGCGGTGCATTCTTAAGATGTTCCGAATTTCCTGTTCAAAGCGGGCGCTGTACAATTTCTCAAAGACTTGATGGCATGTCGAACTGAGGGGACGACGTATCCATCCTGTTGCAGTTGATAAGTGGGCAGATGGACATGGCTATCGAAGAGATCCGAGTAGAAGTCGTGGATGACTTTCTCCATTGCCCTTCGGGATGCAGTGACTGTTCCATCCGGACGTCGGAGGCAGGTCATCTTGGTCTTGTAGCTGGCAAAGCTTCGGCGGGCATTGCGGATGCTCCTCCCAGCCTCTGCTGCTTCAGCTATACACTGCTGCTCTTCGCTCTTAAGATCTTCTTTACTCTCCGCATAGTTCTCGCACCTAATGCGGACGTAAGTTTGTGATTTTGAGTACGCTCATAGCGGCCTTCACGTTGGCCAGTGATCATGCTTCGGAGAGTTTTCAGAGAAAGGCGTCCCTTACCATTAGAAACTTCAAAATTCTCTGCCTTCTTTCCGCTATCATGAAGATTTCCAGCGAGCCGATTATTCCTCGACGATATTTTCGATGACGGTGCTGGCAAGAGAAGTGAAGTGGTCCCTGGGGCTTCGCTTCCTGAACTTCTCTCAACAGGCATCGCAAAATGAAATCTTGCGCGGAGGAACGAGACGATTGGGTGCCGAGTCCCAATGTGAACTTGTAGCGAACAGACAGCTGGACGTCGGCTATGCGATTCGGATATGAGATGGGTGGTGATGTAGCGCCGTTGGTAAGAAAGCTGACATCAGAGGGTCCAAGTCCAACAAAGAGTGAGGAGGGGCTTTTTGAATGGTACGGTGTGCGCGGGGAGGGTTTGGTCTGGAGCTGGATGAACTCGACAGTCTCTGCGCCGCTGCTTCATTGCCAAAATGCTTGTTCGGTGAGTACGAGAGTGAAGGTTGGCTTGCCGCCGGTGCATCGGTGGGGCGCCGTCTAGGCCGGTGCGAAACGCCGACGGTGAGCCTCAAAGAGTATGATCTTCAGCCTGTTGAACTGCTAATTTTTCGCTCGATGTCAAAGACGTTGCCGGATTCGTGGGTCGTTACAGCTTTCGGTACGAGCGCGATGTTTATGGGCGACGGTGCAGGTGGGTCGAGGACACCCACACCGCAACGCTACTGCGTAGGCCTTATCAATCGCTTCTGCCTGGGCTGATTTAATGTAAATTCGGTCTTGGCGCTGGCGTGAGAAGTTCGAAAAGGCTAGCAGGGAGGTGAGAATGTGAGCGGGAGAGCGGCAGAGAAGTCTGGGTGGAGAGAGCACTGGACTGAGTAGCATTGCAAAGCAGATAATATGTCGGGCGGTGGCGGAACGAGACACTTCTGGTGGAGTAAGTTCTTAGCGCTAGGATTGTGGAAGTAGACGCTTTGTCAGCGTGAGGAAGTAGAGTCTGGCGCGACTTGCGGGACTCGCCACGTCTAAGCACAGCAAAGGCTCAAGTAAGTGGGTTCTGAAGGCCGGACTTTGGCTGTCACTGTTCTTTTTCTCTACGTGCTTGGTACTTATATAGGTGCTTAACACATTGACGACATTGAGACGCGGTAACGCGTCTCACTTTGCGCACCTCGTTGGACATTGAGACGCGTTACCGCGTCTCACCCTTATCATCCCTTTTTCTAGGGCATGCGCAGCTTTTTCCCGAATTGTTTGTCTCTCTTCTATGGATTAGAACATAACATTATTGTGAACGACATAGGTCATTGTTTGTTCCAAATATGCTCAGTTTAGGTAGGAAGTTTTCAAGCTCACCGGAGAGCGGGGCGGCGTTGGATTCGATGCGAGTGTTTTCATGCGTATTCTCGAGTTGAACAAGATCAATATGAAAGACGTTGGAAGGGTAGTAAAGTAAATGCAAATCTAAAGAGACAGAAAAATACATGCTTCACTTGGTATAACCACATCAAAAGAGCTTTTGGCATCCACTACAGATAAAATGAAAAGTTTCCTTTTTCATTACCATTACATGTTCTTTAATCGGAACTTCGTCACTATATACTCTATTACCTTCTACGCATTGACTGTTACTGAGATGTTTTTGTACCACTGGTGCTTTAAAAAGTTATCAATAAAAATTCACGGATCCGAGGTGCGGCGGTCGCACTCGCAAAATCGGCCCGGTCCCACACGGCCAAAAAAGCCAAAACGCGCGCGGTCGTCAATGTGTTAAGAGTTGGTTGATTTAAGTAAGCGAGCGAAATTTTTCCCAGTCCTCTTCTAAACGAGAGTTTTTGGCTATCAGGGACAGATGTGAAATGCTCAAGAATATTTCGTACTCGTTGGCCGAACCAGTAGACTCAAAAGAGTCCCTTCAAGCACGAAGAAAGGTAAAGGGGACTGGCAGGATTCAGGAGATTCAAAAAGCCCCTTTTCGAGGCCCATAGTAGTTTGCATCGTTCTGCAAAGTCATATATTGTGCATCCGACTACCTAACCGGTGGTTCATAAA